ATTATTGTAAGTTATGTTATATCAAAATTCGCAGTTGAGCCTATTATATTCGAGCTGTACGATATTTTTGCCCGTGAATGTAAATTATTGTTTTATTGTTACCGCCGTCTCGCCTACCAAGCGTGACGTTCTATATAAATCCTCATTTTACAAGGGCCTTATGGCCAACAATATCAATGGACGTTCTGGCGCAACTTTGCTCCAGTGGACTGATAATAATGTTTAGTTTGTAACCGACTTTAAAAAAAGGAGGAGGTTCTCAATTTGACTGATGTTTTTTTTTTTGGATATATGTTACATGATAACTCCGGTAATTTGTGAACCGATTTTGATGATTCATTTTTGGTGGAAAGAAGGTACTCAGTAGTGATTCCATTTAAAATTGAAGAAAATATTCCGCTACGCAAACTAGGGGATGAATAACTTTTGAGGTCAGTTTTTAGTACTCTGTACTGAGATTATGGATTCAACTAATTTAAGTCCCATTATATTCAACATGGGCATTTTCAAAGCGAAATGGAGATTGAACAGGCACATTTTATGTATCGACTACATAGTCACACACCATGAGGTGAAACTATGTGCAGATGTTTACAATAAAATACAGTTATCATCAGAAGCGGACTTTACCCCCTTTGACCCTGTCAACTATAGACCAATGTCAGTCACTTCCATACTATGCAAGACTATGGAACATGTACTCAACAACCGTCTCCTGTCATACCTTGAAGACAATGACCTCCTCAGTGATCGCCAGTTGGATTCCGACGAGGGTGATCTACCGGGGATCTTCTTGTGAATGCTTGCTACATATGGAGCGAGGCTATAGAAAAGCAAGGCGAAGGACTTGCAGTGTCTTTGGACATTTCTAAAGCCTTTGACAGCCAGACAGCAGTTTGACAGTCTGCCACGCAAGCCTTTTAAGTAAGCTTTCGTGTTATGGGCTTCCCACTGACCTTTGCAATTGGATCTCGAATTTCTTGAGTGAATGTTCCATTTGAGTGGTCTTAGAAGGCTACTCTTCCGAACATATGGCAATAGATTCCTCAGGGTTTCGTACTGTCTGCAACTCTCTTTCTGCTGCATATCAATGATATGTTAATTCCAGGTACCTTTGCGTATGCTGATGACAGCACTGTTGTAGATAGGTACTTGACCAATGCAAAGGTCAGAGGAGAGGAAATCCAGCCTTGTCGAGAGTCCATGGTTAGCCGTTTAGATTTGACGCTCAAGGCAGTCTCCGATTGGGGCGATGCAAATCTTGTCAAATTTAACGCTACGAAAACGCAGGCGTGTCTATTCTCCACTAAACGGAGTCCCTTTGAGCTGACTCCGATTTTTCGTGATAAATATACCGATAGCCGACCGTCTCCAGCTACTTGGAATGCACCTGTCGTCCATTCTGAACTTCGGCAAACACATTGAATCCATGGCCAAAAATGCAGCCAGGAAGCTTGGCATCCTTTCTAGGGTGAGGCGTTACTTCACACCGGGACAGTTGCTTCAGCTGTATCAAGCACAAGTCCGGTCGTGTATGGAATACTGTTGCCACCTTTGGGATGGCTCTGCTACATATCAACTGGCCACCTTGGATTCAATTGGCAAGCGTGGCAAGAGGCTTATAGGTGACTCGGAATTAGTAGAGGCGAAGCTGCAGAGCCATGAACACCGCCGTAAAGTTGCCTGCTTATCGGTATTTTACAGGATATATCACGGAGAGTGTGCGATGGAATTACATGATTTAATTCCGCCTTCCCCTTTCCATCATCGGGGGACTAGACGTAGGCTTGGCTTCCGCCCATATGTTGTGGATATTCCAAAGATTCGCACGAAGCGTTACGCTTCCACATTTATATGGCGAACGGCTATGGAGTGGAATTCCCTGCTTGCAGACTTGTTCCCTGAACGTTATAACTTGGACCTTTTCAAGGCGAGAGTGAATAGGCATTATCTAGATGTGCATGCTCCATCGTCGACCTCATCGTCACTTTCCATCAGGTGAGATGTAGGTCAAATGCTCACTTACATTAGAATAAAAAAAACTTTAATCCGGTGCATTGTTAAAACCGGGTTTAAATCGGGTTAAAACCCATTTAAGCCCGAAAACGAGGTTTGAAACAATTTACAACTAAATATTTGGTTTTAATGAATATTTAATGACTTTATAAGAAAATGATTCTTGTTTGAATAATTTCCTCATTCAACTAATAACTAATCCATCTAACGAAGACCACGTAACCACGCGCCGGGACAAGAATCTTGCTTTTTTGCAATTGTTTTTATCCAGCGCAGATGAGAGTCCACAGGACTACAGAGTGGACGTTATGTGAGATTACCTCTTTTTGTTAAAAATAAAAAATGTTTAGCAACGAAATTTCAAATATTCTAATACAATTGTCTAAAAATTACAATATTGTACTTACGAATTTCGATGTGACATTTCGGACCATCATTTCTCGGATTCATACGAATCGAACGTAGTAGTGCGTAAACGCTCTTGAACGTTAGTTTATTTGAACACAGAAATATACGCAATTTTAAATCCGAAAATATTGTTTCATTTACAATGTGTAGTAATCGCGAAAACCCAAGAATCCCATAACCATGATCTAGGTTTCGCCATAGTCGGATGAAAAGGTGATCCTTCAAGGTATAAAGTAGTGGCATATGCACCTAGGTTTGCGACGCAGCATTTTGCCGCAAGCCGTACCTGGAGGTCCACATGCGCACGCACACTGGCGAACGCCCCTTCCAGTGCGACCTCTGCCTCAAAAGATTTACGCAAAAATCCAGCCTTAATACGCACAAGCGCGTACATACCGGTACGTATATATACACATGTACACAACACCTCCTTTGCATATTATTTACACTCGAATAGATTTCATACTGTACATAATGTAGGTGGACGGGAATGGTGTTGTATGAAATATTTATAATGACGGCATTTCCATATCCTTTCTCGTGTAGCGAAAATATTTACATACTTTAAAACGTATTTCAAAATATTAGTTAATCATCGCGCCCTTTACAACAAGAATTTATTATTAATGTAAACGTAGTAATAAGTCTATGCTTTGTAATTGGGTTTCAATGGAATAACTCCCTTTTGTGTTTTGTCGATATGTAGTGTTCCTTTTTTGTGCTAATATCGAATGTAAACGTTATTTCAGTTAAAGCATTTTTTTATTTTGGTATAAATCATAATATCATGTTGTCCTCCAACATCCAATAAGAAATATATAAAAAAATATCACCAAGGAACTATAAATTGAATCAACTTCGCGTGTTATCGTGAAGCAAAATTAACATTGCCTACTTTTGTTTGCTCATGAAGCGCCATTCCTGTGATCCTATGATGACAGAAAGTTTGACATAAACACATAAGGGTCAATTTGTACAGATAACTTTTTGATACTAGCGAGGTTCGGTGTGATGAGATCGTTACAGTCACTCTCTTCCGTTATTAGCATTTACAAACTTTTAAAGTTTTGACATTTATAATTTTGAAGATTAATGGGGTCTTAAACAAATCCAGTTCTTCGCGTATTTATATGCGTTGTCGTTATATCTACTGTACAAATTGCACCTAAACGTTTCAATTTAATTAGGAAAAGTCATATTCATAAATATTTCTTCGTAACATAAAAGTATCGAATTTTTAGATTTTATTAAATTTTGCTACTCTCGCATCTGACCTGAATAGATTTCGCCACTCAACTACATGAATATGACTGCTTCCAATATTTGTATTGACTATCTTGAAAGCCTTTTGAATTTTTCGAAAGCTGAAATCTCCTAAACACAGGGTATTCTTTTTGTCTTTACATCGCATAGAAATTGTTAACAAAAAACGTTTAAAATGTTTCGGTATAAAATGAATTATTTTTTTAATAAGAAATTCACATGTTTAGGAAACTATTCCATTGCTTTCAATGTAATTTCCATATTATTGCAAACGATATTGTGAAACTATGTCAGATGAAACGAAAATTCTTAGACAGAAACACTTCTTATTAAATTATTTCTAATTGAGATTAGATAAATCGGTGTATCTGTGGACATTCTTAAAGTTATCTAATGATCAAGAGAAAACATAATAGGCTATAGGACGGAGGTTTTAGGCATATATCACAGTTATATGGAAGTTACATTACAGAATTACATACGTACATTATGTTATAGAGAACTAAGAATCCCATGAGCTTACCATGAGGGGATTCTACAATTGGATTTTTTCATATTTAAATCAAGTCAACCTCCTCCTGTTTCCGTGGAACCAAAATTTATTATGTTTTTTTCCTATTATCTTACTTTTCTTATTTGTTTATTTTAACGCCCTGATAAAAAAAAAAGTATAATTTTTACCTATGTATTGTCTCTACGTATTCGCATATTTGCATAAGTATACTTACATAAACCGGGATATATTTATTTCTTTAAAAATTTTTAAGTTCCACATATGAGTTTTGTTTAGTATCTTATATAAGATATATGTTTTTAGTATATGTGCTTTAGTACAGGCTTAGTGAGCTGAAATTATATTTAACGCTACACAAGTATCATTCTTTACCTTCAGGTTATTTTTATGTTTTATCTTGGAAATGCGCGAGCATATTTTGTAAACACGGCCTCTGGACGGAGCTTTTAAAACACTTCAATATATGTCCGTAGTGAATATATTTAGCTTATTATCTGTTACATTATTGCACCAACCCAACAGTAAAGTCGATCGCGTACGATGCGACACTGGTGCAACGTAGTTCACTGGTGGAATTTGACAATACATATGCTTGACATACAAATGTGAATAGTTTTTGAGATGTGTCGAGTAGTTAAAGACGAATCAGTATCAATCAGGGCGTGAGAAAGGGTCCGTTGATGCGAGGCAAACAGGGGGAGGTAGGGAACTTACAATGGACCAACGGCGAGTCTTGTTGTGGTGTAGTCCATTGTGTGTTCTCGCGAGGCTTGGAGCGGCGCGGCAAGCGCGTGACGTCACTGTGGCTGGGTTCTAGATGAGCACATGCGCGCGTTGATGGTGAAGGACCGCCCCTACAAGTGTGAGCTCTGTCAGATGCGGTTCACGCAGAGCTCCAGCCTCAATCGCCACAAGAAAATTCATACCGGTGGGTCCATATACTTCCGCACCGCCCACCGCTATCTCACACCTCTTACGTTCATTCCTCTCGATCGGCTCCTGCGGCCTTTCCGATTCTTCCTCACACTTAGAACTTGTAAAGCCTGATTCTGACATTGTGCGTGGTTTCGTTCAGAGGAGCACAGGCGCGCGCTGCTGGCTAAGGAACGCCCCTACCAATGCGGCATCTGCTTTGTGAGATTCACCCAGAAATCGAGTTTGGGCCGGCACGGAAAAATACACACTGGTGGGTCCCTACCTGTAGCTACTGCCGTGTGACCTTACCTTACCCCCTGAGGCAGATCGGTACTAACGATTGCTAGTCTACCTCCCCCTGAATGTGTGTGAATGAGTAATATGTAATTCGTTAGGTTAATGACGCTTGAGGGAGCAAGTTGTTATATCGAAACTCGTATCCCTTATAGAGGAGCACAGACGAGCCCTGTTAGAGAAAGCGCGGCCGTACCAGTGCCACATCTGTTTTATGCGCTTCACTCAGAAGTCCAGCCTGGGCCGACACGGAAAGATACACACTGGTAGGCATTTTGCCCTCAAATCCTTATGTAGATATTGATTATTTATTTTAGAGCACACATTAGGCACTGTGTACGTGTGTGCGAGCGGAGCCGTTGTTGTAGCTGAATTTTTGGTATTTCTAGAGGAGCACATCCAATCGCTGATCAACAAAGTGCGCCCCTATCAATGCGACATCTGTGACAAGCGGTTCACGCAGAAGTCCAGCCTGGGCACTCATAAACGTATACACACCGGTGGGTCCCCTCATTTTACATTATTATTTTCCTGCGGTCTCGAAGCCACAATTCCTATACTGTTGTCTATCCGAAGCTTACACACACTATTTGCTTTTGTGGCTTTGACACCAATGCTTGTGAATAGTTTTAAGGGCTCCCAGACATCTCCAACTTAGAGACACGGCTAGCGATTCGGAAATGTTTTTATTATTTCGTTTTGTTTTTACCAAAAGAAGTTGTACGGTGACAATAGGAAGCACAGGCTCAAAAACTATTCACAAACATGAAAGTAAAGCATGTGTACGTTGTGAGGATTACCTTACCAAGATTAGGCGAGAACATCTGTCTGATGGACAAATAACTTTAAAAAATTCCCTCATGGTATCAAGTGTAGAAATTGGTATGCGTGATAAGAGCAGTGGTTTGATTATTTGTCCATCGTGGTTTTGTTTTGTTTCTCTGTCCCCCCGTGTCCGTGCGCGCCCGTGGCCCCGCAGGCGAGCGCCCGTTCCAGTGCACCGTCTGCCTCAAGTCCTTCACGCAGAAGTGCGCGCTCAATTTGCACGAAAAGATACATACGGGTTAGTAGCCCACATATATTATTTCAGCAGTATCCTCTCGGTACGAGTAGAAGGCGTCTCGATCACTCACACATCTCATTTAGCGTCATGCTTCGTTCCTATTTTTCCGTTGCCAGCCTAACCCGTTGTTTTACGCTCCCTCTTATCAGCGGCTTTCATCTCGTTGCTTCCTGGACTAACATCTCGATCTGTACTCATGCAAATGCGCGCTTTACGTACTTCTGCACCTACCACTTATCTCCCGCCTGTCTTAACGTTATACCCGCCGATCACCCGCCTGCTCATTTTGCATTCGGTGACTTACTTGTACCATTTTGTATTCCATCATTTCTTCATGAATATTAATCCTGTCACAAAAGCGATAATGCAATCGCCGCAATGACGCATCGGTGGCGCCACGGTATCCGCACGATACCTCGTACCAAAATTGGGTTCTCAAAATTGGGGGTCGCTCGGCGACGGATATGGTGAGATTGGCAGCGGGCGGGCTCAACCCGGGCGCGGCGTCGGCGACGTGCGTTACTCGCTTTTGTGTGTGCACTGGGCGCAGTGCAAGGGCGCCCTTACTCGTGCGGGCAATGCCCGGCCGCGTTCGCTCGTCGGCCCTACCTGGACACTCACATGCGCACGCACACAGGCGAGCGGCCCTATCAGTGCGACGCGTGCCTCAAGCGCTTCACGCAGAAGTCCAGCCTCAATATTCATAAGCGGACGCACACAGGTGGGTCTCTAGCGCGGGCCGGACTGGCCCTCCGCCCGCCCGCAGCCTCTTACCTCCGCGCTCTCCTCCAATCCGTGTAGCTTGCGGTGTCTCGGTTTGGAGCGGAGCAGCGGCGAGCGGCGACCAGTCCGCGCCGCTCCGTAGAGGGGGCGGATAGCGTCCTCGCGAGCCGTCGCTGCCGCCGCTCTAATCATTGTATTGGGCACCAGTCCAGGGCAGACCGTTCCAGTGCCTGTCGTGTCCCGCCGCCTTCACGTGCAAGCAGTACCTCGAGATTCACACGCGCACCCACACCGGCGAGCGACCGTATCAGTGCGACATCTGCCTCAAACGCTTCACGCAGAAATCCAGTCTCAACATCCACAAACGGACGCACTCAGGTATGTTGCGCCCCGGGGCGGCCTCGAGGGACCACCTGTATGTGGGCTACTATACGTGGTGCGTGGACGCGGGGAGGTAGGCGCCCCGCTGTTTCGCCAAAGCGGCACTGTTCTCTGTTCAGGTTTTATTTCGGAGAAATCATGCAATCTCGTATTTGATATTACATATACTTACTAGCATTCGTTTGATACCAAAGAAATAAAACCTTGACATTGAACAAAACGTGTACCCGTTAGCCGAACCAGTACCTTGCGATACTAACTAGTGATGTCGTCCACAGTGCAAGGGCGGCCCTTCCAGTGCCTGTCGTGTCCTGCGGCCTTCACGTGCAAGCAGTACCTGGAGATCCACAACCGCACGCACACCGGCGAGCGACCTTATCAGTGCGACGTATGCCTCAAGCGATTCGCGCAAAAGTCCACACTTAACATACACAAAAGAACGCACACAGGTATAGTCTATTTCATTTTCATTTGCTTAGTAACTTTTGTCTTCAATTATATATACATACTTGCAAAAATCCGTCGTTTGTCTTTACAAATCCCGAAATTAATCACAATCGGATCTTTTTAAACAAGAAACGATGGATGTTTGCTGTTTTTTCTTCCCATCATTTAGACCACTGAAGAACTGTTACTTACCCATATTTTCTCCACCTGCTTTTCAACTGTATCGTATAGTGAGTCAATACTAAAACTATTCGACTTATTATTGCAATGTAGAACACAAGTTAAGTTCTCGCCTCCAGCTTAATTTGTGCACTTCAGTGGTTTACTTAATACTCCATATTACTCTAATGCACCATTCATTATCATGTTCATGTTCTTTTCTTAAGCTAAACTAAGTATTGAAGTTGTCGGTGCCACGTTTCAGGATCGATTTACTACTTAATTGTTTTGTGAGTATTGTATTCTTAGTTTATAGGTTCTATTTATTAATTCTCGGAAGAATTTACCCGTTTATCTAAAGTAACAGATACAAGTAGACACAGTAAACACATTTACATCTCATATAATAATACTACCAGTTTATTTCATGGACAATTTAACAGGAACAATTCAAATTGTGTTCTACATTTACTGATTACGATTCAGTTTGAGTTTTACAAATATTATTTTCAATAACTACGGCTCTTTAATCTACATAATATGTCACTACAAATATGACACGGATCTGATAAATTCAATTCACGTTTGAGAACTGCCTGTAATAAAATTGAACCATTATACATACTTACATACTAGGTTCATGTTGTAAACTATAGAATGTTACTACTCTATAGCGTCTATACCAGGGGCTCCCAAACTTATTTTGTTGCCCACTTTGAGAATAAATAATTTTTTAGCGCCCCCATTTTTTCACCTACTTAAAAACCACTATTACTTCAAATTAAATTAATTATTGTGAGCTATATTAGTGAAGATTAAACATTCATTCTAAACGAGACTTTTACTATAACCCGCAAGAGTTAAGAGTAGTCTAATGCGAAACTGTCTGTTGCCTTTTTATTTGTTTGTTTGTTTCTACTTTCATTTCGAAACGGAGCGACCGATTGACATGATTTTTATTTTATTTATTCAATAAAACAGGACAGATATATGAACTACACGGAGAGAAATATCGGACCGAGTTAGTTTGAGCAATCTCTTAATTAATATTAGTTGATGTTCACAAGTTGTAGTGGAGTGTCGAGAGCCCAGTCGGTGTCTAAGAGTCTTCCTAGATGAAATTACAAATAGCTAAGCCTCTACACAACGCCCCTATTTTTGTTCTGGATCTCTTACCGTCCCCCTTTAAGTCTGCAGCGCTCACAATGGGGCGTTATCGCCCACTTTGGGAAAGGCTGGTCTATAGGAATGCGTGAAAACTCAACTTCATGAGACACAAAACAGTGCTATAAAAGACTTTTACGAACCTTATATTATATTTAAGATACAATTGCCACTAGTACAAGTTTCTAACTGGGGTATGATTTTCTACTCTTATCCAAATATTTTAGAGCGGTTACATGCTCCATGGTCATAGTAGTAGAACAGTCATATTATGTTTAGCCTCTTTCGCTGTCTACGACCACACGGCATCTACACGTGAAACTAAAGTAGGATCATTTTTATTTTTTCTATTGTAACACTAACCGGAAAGAGAACAGATTAAATATTCTTACTGCTGTTATCTGCCGCTGACCACCAGTGACTATGTAGCATGTTCTGCTTTCGTTCTGACACATCATACATATTATTCAACAGTAGTTCAACAGACATTATGTCTTCAATTGTTTGCATGTGTCATACTATCCTTTATTGGTAGGTCAATGGATATCAACATCCATTTATAGTATCGCTCCTAGGTGCGAGTCACAAGATTTAAGCCATAGTCCGCCATGCTGGGCCAATCCGGGTTGAGAACCTTCTTCGACGTGCATGTTTTCCTTCACCGAAAAGCTCATAGTAAATTTATAATTAAATTTCGCACATAAAGTCCGAAAACTCGGAGGCGCGAACCTGGATTCGAATCCACGGCCTCTGCTAGAGAGGCGGCAGGTCAAGCCATTAGGCTACCACGGCTTCTTCAGGTTTATATTGGGAGAAGAATAGTAAGACGTGCACTCATAATAAACCTGTAACTAGTAATAATCCGTAGACATTGTCCTGGGGTAGGCCCCCAGGACAATGTCAACATAACCTTTCAACAAATAGTCTTATTTCAATGTAAGCTTAAAGTAAGCTTATTATTATATTACTCATATTCGTATCATGACAAACCTATCAACCAAGTAATGTATTATTGCTAAAGTGACTGAAAGAATGAATGATTTCCCAATATTGTTTATTCCTTACTAAAAATAGGAAAGAAATAACGCTGTATGAACTGTATAACTCTCTACACACACACTCGACTCGACTCGACGGTCTCTTTCTTTTTAGATGTTCTAATTCGTCCTATAGTAGTATAATGTTAAAGTACTTAATATTATTTACATTCTGAGAATTTTAACTGCCAAAAAAAGAAAAGTATGTAATAATGAAATCTATTAAAATTACGTTGTTTTCGATTATTTTTCCGCATTTTCATGCAAAATAAATAAATAAAACAAGCTGAGTTTTGATTGTCACGTTGTGAATTCGGAATTATAGTCTATTGTCAACTGTTAGTGTCGCCAAGGAGCATATAGATGCCGCTGTTTTATTTTATTTGATTTTACGAAATGAACATCGCGTATTTTTATTTAACGGGAAAATATTTCCTATGTGCTATTAAATAAAAAAAAATACAAAATATTGAAGAGATATATGTAAGTAAATAAGTTCAACTTAACTTTTAATCGTTACATATCAACATTTAGACAATAAATTCGAAAATAATATTGTTTCCATTGCATCCGTGTAACTATTTTAACAAATTGCTAAATTTGGCATAAGAACAATATTATCTTAATGTTAAAGTTACGTCATAGTACGAACTGAGTGAATGAATAGTCACAAAGCCGTCAATAAAACATCATAGTTCTAACATAATGTTAGCTTATTATAAAATAAGCTTACTTTAAGCGCGTCATGATATGAAAAGTCAATGTAAATTTAAAGTAATATTGTTTTAAGAGGTTGTGGAGGCCCCCTATTTCCAAAACGAAAAAACTTAAATTGTGTATCAATTTCTTCCACATTTACACACCTGTATTAGTCATTACCCTATTGAATCGTAAAATTTGAAATTTGTCGGGAGTATTAACCTCGTTATGCGAATAACAAATACCGCGTATGCAACCAGTGCAAGGGCGCCCGTACCAATGCATGGAGTGCCCGGCCGCGTTCACATGCAAGCCGTACCTCGAGATCCACATGCGAACGCACACCGGCGAGCGGCCCTTCGAGTGCGACGTTTGTTACAAACGGTTCACGCAGAAGTCCACTCTCAACATTCACAAACGCATACATACTGGTACGGGATTGCTGTGTAGATCACGTCAATTTTTTTGTGAAGAGACTTCGTAATATAAACTCACCGAGTATATAACCAGAACAAGAGACGAAATGTCATTTAATTTGTTTGAAAACTATTTTGCCAAATCATTATATAATCGGAGCGTAGTGATAACTGCGCTCCGAATGGCCAGCCCAAATTCGAAGCAATTGACGGGTGTCGTCAATTGTTGCACTTCAAATCAAGATATTATCTTTATTACAATAAATACAGAATTTTTTGGAATATATGGAGACGTACGCACAGGTCAGATGTGGCGCTGTACTATTTCATCTTTCTAATTTGTGATTTTAGTGAAAACGAGAGTTGATATTTAATAGTTATATAAGGCCCATTTGTCTGATGAGTTCCCAGGGACTGATGACCTTCATTTTGTCTCTATTCCTGGTTATATACTCGATGTATAAACTCATCACCAAAAAGAATTTTGAAACCATATATCAGCATTGTTCCGTACTGGGCACTTTTTTATTACTGTGTGATATCACTTACCCCATGAATCACATCTTTATTCATTGATTGAAGTGTAACAGTTTCGTATATATATGCACTAGAAATCAGTTTTCTTATTCATAAAATTGGTTTACAAATTCTCTTCACAACTGTGTGTGCAATAGTTTTCGACGGAGTGTGCTTACCACGGAGATGGCATTGTTAAGAAGACGGCAAATTGTGATGTAACAGAACAGGTACTAATAAACACAATGATGTGGCACCGACAACTTCGATCATGGATAATTTAACTTTTATCATCTGCTACATCATCATTTAAGTTCCACTATTTATTTATTTTCTCGCTTACATCCATTAATTTTTGGCATCATACTGTCTAATTGCATCTTGCCGTCTTTCTAACATCATTTTGCCTTGAGACCTGCTTTCTTTTATCATTATTTTAGACTTTTTGCTGGATTTTTGCTTTGTTTTATCCATGTATGTGTATTTCAAGATCAATTCATGCATTTCGATAGTCGATTGTCATTAGAGCCTAGTGAGACGTATATGGGTTACTACAGGGTATGATGCAAAATCGTGATTAGTAGGTTGTAGTAACAATCCATATACATCTGCTAGTCGCTTATCCCCCGTGACCATGGGACTGAAGAAAACGAAATTTTTCACCGAATCAAATTCTACACAATCAAATAAATATCGTCGGTGTTTTGTAGGAAGGACGTAAGCGACATTTCGTAGGTTTTTTCAGGGGAGCATGTTTTAGGTTTTAAGACTGTTTTAAAGTTATTATAGACTGTTTAAAATTATTTACGTCCTGTATTAAAATTTAATTTTAAACGTACTTATTCCGCTGTCTCAGCGACTCACAATGTGTCCCGGCCTCCGAAACGAGATGATGCCACTTTCATCGGTCCTGTGCAATCTCTCGCCAATGGCTTGTAATTCGCGCAGGTCCGCCTCCACGGTGTCTCTCCAGCGATACCAGTACCAGTCTTCGTCCAGTGGGTCCACCCAGATAGGCTCTCTTCGCGTTCCAATCCTCTCCCATCGTTTCTAAATAACCGATCCAGCTAATTTTAAAACCAAGATTCAGTTTTAAAACAGGACGTAAATATTTTAAAATATTTAATTACTATTTTAACCTAACACTTGCTCCCCTGAAAAATCTACGGAATGTCGCTTACGCCCTTTCTACAAAAGCCTGACGATATATGGTCCGTATCGGACTAAATTCTTTAGTCGGGAGACTTTTTAGTCACCCTTAGAAGTAGCATTCCAGGGTGATAAAGAAACAAGCTTGGGATAGTTCCTCTCTCTTGCTAATGCCTTACTAAGTTTTACTCATTTCACTCGCGAATGGTAGGGGTCAATGAATTATACTAACGCAACGAATTCACTTCGCAGGAGAACGACCGTACGCATGTGATATTTGCCAAAAGCGTTTTGCCGTCAAGAGTTACGTAACAGCTCACCGGTAAGTTTAAATCCTTGGAATAAAGTTTTGAGTTAAAGTAGATGAACTGCTTTTTACTCCAGTAAAAGAATGACATGATTTCAAGAAAATTATATAGTTCTTAAATTTTTATTGAATGTCAGAATGTTTCATCACCATGATATTCAATTATTTTTTGCGAAATTACTCGACTAGTTTGTTATAATTATTAATTCAATGATTGAATACTTAGAAAAAGTTCCTTCGATACGGCCGTAATGGAACCTATGTACGTCTCCTAGCAAACCGTGCCAGACGCTATGCCAACTCGAGCCATCATAGATTTCTCATAGATGGGCTACGGCTAAAAAAGTCGTTGAAAACAAAATACAAAGATCCGATAACAAGCACTTAGGAAAATTCGTGAGGGCGTCTGGTTCGTTCCGTGGCTTAGTTGGCATTATTACAAACTAGTGGAGTAATTTCACAAAAAATTATATAGTTCTTGTTACAGATTTTCGCTAAGATCCAACTTTAGTGAAATGCTAACATTAGCTTCTAGAAAGTGGTTCAATTAACAATTCAACATAACAATTTGGTGTTGTATAGGTGGTCGCACGTTGCGGACAAGCCGCTAAACTGCGACCGGTGCTCTATGACGTTTACATCAAAGTCTCAGTTCGCACTGCACATCCGCACGCACTCCTCCGGCTCTTGCTATGAGTGCAGCGTTTGTGGACGCACTTTCGTGCGGGACAGCTATCTCATCAGGTACAATTGTTTATTACAAAATGTTCTAATTGGTGAGGAAAGGTCGACAAGTAGAGGATGTTTTAGTAGCAGTGGAGCTCTTGGTGAAAGATTTCGTCCAGGGAAGTACTGCCACCTTACCTATTTCTGTCGCCAAATAGTAATGTGAGCATTACTGCGTTCCGGTTTTAAAGGGTAAGAGTGCTGGTGAAATTACAGGCACATGGGATTTTTAACTTAAGTCTCAGGGTGATGGGCGCAGATGCAGAGCACCTCAGATCTTTGCGATTTAAAGCTCTGAGTGGCGCTACAACTGTTATGGACAGGCGTGTAGTTTATCATCAGGCGCACGATTTGTTCGTCCCATCACTTATTATCATAAAATGGCTAGGTTAAGAGGTTACTGATCTTGCGTACGCCTTTTGAATATATATATATATATATATATATATATATATATATATATTCAAAAGATGCGGTAAGGGAACAAGTCTGCAGGCAGGGAATTCCACTCCATAGCCGCTCGCCATACAAATGTGGAAGCGAAACGCTTAGTACGAATCCGGGGAATATCCACAACATAAGGGTGGAACCCCTGCCCACGTAAAGTATCTTGATGATATATGCACCATTTGGGCGTATATGAAAAATTGATGCGAGATAGCGAAAAATTGATGCAAGATTTGTCAGTGTCATTCAAATGGAAGCCAGACCACCCCACTAGGAGACAGAATCAGACCAGCGTATCTTACACGTCGGTTATACTTTGGTAAAATATTTAATTAATTACTTATAATTAATTAAATATTTTGGTCTTAATCGAAATGGGTTGATGCTCTTAACTTTCTGTTTACATCTGGCCACGTTATGGACAATCGGTTTGTGAGTTTATTTGCCATTCTTCGTATCGTATCGATGGCATACACTATATTATCTAACTAGGCTAAACTGCATGGAATATGTTTGCCATTATAGTGAAAGGATTTGCCAATCGGCGTAAAGTACTTACCGATTGTTGCCTAGGGTGCGCTAGACATACTAGGAATAGGATTCATGTGTCATTACGGGGAGGCTCCTTTTCTGCACGCCATTTATTTATTATTTATGAAATATAGTATATACGTTATTTGCCATCTTAAGTCTTAATAGATTGATGGATAGCGAAAACTAAAATTTTCTCGTGTTTTGTAGACACCACAACCGTGTGCACCGCGAAAACCACAGCAACCTGTCCGCAAACAGCATCTCGAATCTTGCCAGTGTCGCCACCAACACCAACAACTCGAGCAACAGCAACTTTGACAACTCCGCCGTCTGCGATTTGAGGTAGGCGATCAAGGGTCTATATAATATTATATGAATGTATACAGATACTGCAACCGACTTCAACACTGACACATCTCAAAATTGGTAATCGTGGCAAGTAAATATGTGACTTACATTAAGACAAAATCTGAATGTAATTTCAGTAGCAGTAGAGTCAGTAGCATTTCAGAGCTACTTGTGAAAGAAAGGAAGTACTGCCACCTTACCTATTTCTGCCGCCAAGCAGTAATGAGAGCAAGAGTGCTGGTGAAATTACAGGCACATGGGACTTGTCAACTTATGTTTCAGGGTAACGGGCACAGTGGCAGTGCCCCTCAAATCTTTGCGATTTAAAGCTCTGAGTAGCGCTGCAACTATTATGGACAGGTGTGCCGCTTACCACCAGGCGCACGACTTGTTCGTTCCGTCACCTAGTATCATAAAAAAATTATATCTTTTCCAATTTTCCGCCTATAAAAAAACCTTTAGCTAGTGATAATATTGAAGCCGATTTACGAAAATCAATCACGTAACAATACGTCCACGTGTTATGAACAAAAGACACGTGTTTAAATAGATATATAAAATATTTATCCACCACAGAAACATTTAAGTAATAAAGACATCACATTAAATATACAAATAAATTGATAGATATTGACGAACGAGGTTTGCAACCATTTTGTGCTTGAGTGGCCCTGGCTCAACACAGGTGCCGGACCGTGACAACCTACAGCGTTTTCCTGCTAACTAGTTATGTAACATATTTATACTACTTGACACACTTGAGCATGGAGCTTCTAAAGCAAGATAGGTTCTATTCCTCATACAATTTCATAGCGAATTTTTTTAAATTTCGAGATATTAAAATTTATTTCAGACATCATTCATTCATTCATTTATAAAGTGATGATGATCAGGGATGAGCGAAAAATTGTTCCTAGGGTTAAATTAAAACTATTTTGCTACAACGAATCTACGAGCGACAATTAATCTAAGATTTTTTAAATTTCGTATCACCGGATGAAGTTCACCGTACTATAAATTAGGTTCTGATTACGATCCTGTTTAGTACAGCCACCACCAAAATTGTTTGATCTTTTGACCTAACGACATACATCGGCACATTTGAATCAATTATACGAATGTAAGTTGTAATTTTGATTCAAGCTAGGCTTCGTCTGGAGAAAATCCTAGTTAACAAGGTTGATTTTTTGAGTTGAAGGCTCTCATTTTGAAGCTGTCTGTACATCAAAAATTGTCCAATACAAAGCTAAGAGATACGTCATTTTGTTGCAGTTTCGTACCCATGGTGAACCGGTACATGACGTCGCAGGGTACCCAGGTGTCGATGCAGGACAACTCCAGTAAGATGTCGGCTTTGTCGCCCCAATCCATCGCTTCTATTTGTAAATATCTTTTTCATAATTATAAAGTTTACCTCAATTGAAATTATTAAGTAAAACTGCAATTTATTGTAATGATTTATTATAGTTGTCTTCCTTCATATCTTAACACCTTTTTTGATTATAGTACATTATTGTCAAGGTCCAGGAAGTAAACAATTGCTAGATCGGTTATTCAGCAACATACTTATCTCAAACATTGCTCAGAAATCCATCCATACAAACCAGAACTAATTTACTTATTCCGTTGGCTGAGCGTTCCGAAGTGGGTCTTGGCCTCCGATAACAGAACGGTTACCGTGCTGGTCTGCCATGCAGGGGTCCCGGGACGGAAGAAATATTTGTATGGCCTACATATATTTCTCCCGTGAATTTGAGTGTTATTTGTGGTTGTCTATGTGTGTCCATGACAACCGCGATATATGGTTTCCATAGTTCGAGGTTATGAGTGTGAAAAAAAATTAGATAAGTTAATTTCCCCAAATTGGTCTTACCGATAATCCGAGAACCCAGAGCTTTAACATCCAGCCCCCACAACAAACCGTTCAGCCACCGAGGTCGAACCGGTCAACCACCGAATTATCAATTTTTTTTGTCATTAATTGTTGACAAATAATGTTTTATTACAAACATAAACAATTGCTTCTTTCTATTATTGCTAGAAAATACTACCTCCACTAGTCCAGTATTATTTAATACTCACACAAATCTGTCTAATACTGGAGGAGCTAATTTGCTAAACTAAGATTATTATTATACCTGATTACACCCAACCGACATGTTAATATTACGTGTATCCACATGAATCAGGAGCGACTTGTTAACATACATGTTTTTGTGCAGCGTCGCCCCCTCCACCGCACACGCCGACGCCACAGCCACAGATGCCCGGACAGATGCACCTCACCGACTGATCGCGAGACCTCTACGCCGCTACAGGTATCTTACATACAACATTTAAATGCCTAATGTTACTATAGACCAGGCATGCTCAACCTACGACCCGGCAAGCTTTTATGTACGACCCGATACACTTATTAAGAAAGTGCTTTTTAAAAGTGGATTTCTAAGTTAAAACTTAACCCCCACTCACCCCACACGCACAGGCGTGCCCGTTCATGGCCACGCACTAAGATCACAATGTTCTTAGTATTTTTATATTGATATTATGAGCCTGTGCCCAACAGTGGGATTTAGTATTTAACTATTATAATATTGTAACTATTTAATGTAGGTTTGTTGTTTATTACTTTTATATTTAGGTCTTGTGTTTTATTTATTATACGTTGATGCAATGTAAAACCAGGTCCCCCGATAAAGTAAAAAAGTCATCACAAAAAAAATGTTGCGGCCCCTATAAAAAGTTTGAAAAAAGGTTTTGTATAGCCGGTTTAGACTATTTTATAATATAGGCACCTTGTACAAACAGTTTATAGCAGTTGAAGCTTCTTTTCAGGTTTCGGTTGAATAAGTGCAGCCGAAGTGCAGAGCACACAAGCGGGCAGCCTAAATCAGGAGCAGCTATTCTTATAAAGATATCGACCAATCAGGAGATAGGCAGCTCCTTCTGATCGTGATTCGATCAGCACGGACTAATGCACAGATTTATTGTTTATTTTTATCGAGTATTTATTTTATGTTGAGTTGTCGGCCGAGTGTACAATACAATATAGGAGAGCGTTGCGAGCGAGAGGTGAAGTTTTATGTTGGTCGGTAGGAGCCCTCGGGCACGATCGGAGGACGTCACAGTCGGAGTAGAGTAGTCACGTAGCGGTACCGCCTATGATAATGCATTGTGATTTATACCCACAACTGTGATTTATCCATACCATCACACGATGTATCGATTCTCGTGGTGGCATTCATAAATCGATACTTAAACTCTCATCATAGATTGTAGGCCTAAAATTTTTGATCTCATATTCTAATTTGCTTAGTGATAACTTTCGGAATCGTGAATGGTAAATCTCTCCAACTTGAAATTCTAAATTTTAATGTTTGTCGTTCGCTTGTCATACACGTCTTATTAGTGGTAGTGAAATGTAACAATATCTTATTGCGATGCTTTAACTTAGATCGTGTCAGTGTATATGGAGTTCAGTAATTTTATACAACTTACCGTCGAGAGGTAAAACTATTTTAATCACTGAGAATTGTAAAGGGCTCTAGATAATACTCCTCGTAAATAATCCGTAAGAGATGCTTTAAACAAACTCAGGTTCTTATAATAATGATAAGTACAAATAAACCCATAAACCGAAGAGTCCTCAGAGGAATATGAAAGCTTCACAATATTAACTTTAATATGATGTTTATTGGAGAAATCCAGAGAAGTGCCTGTTGCAACATAAATTGGCAATATTTTTTACTCGTATTGCGTTCGGTGTTATGTTCAGTGTTTTGTGCGGCGGCGGGGGCCATGGGGCCGCGCGTCTCGGCAATAAGCGCCAGCCGCGGGCCGTAGCAAGTTTCACGTGTATGACTACGCGCTTGGCGGTTGGCTGTGATCGTGCGGTTGCACACACAGAGCGTATAATTTGTGAAGCTTCTTACTAAAACTTTGTGTGCCTTCTAGCGGATAGCGACATTAGGCAATATCATCGTAACACCATTAAATACACTTCATATAGATTTCGATTTATGGTCTCGTAATCATGTACATCATATTAACGTTCACTGTAGGGTATTACTGTTCGTTTGACAGACGTTTTGGTGCGGCTCCAGCGTGTTTATTTCCGTACTGTTTTCGAATATTGTAATAGAGTTATGAATAGTGATAGCGCAGTAGTCTTCCAATACCTTGAGACAGTCGTACACGCGAGTGCAGCCAGCGAGTCCGCTGCGGGGGTTCCATATGGTTTGCCATTTTTGATATCAAAGATAGATTGGTGCCATTCTATGTAAATGATGCGGTAGAGTAAGTTTAGTTAAGTCTGCTGGTCAGGGTAGAAATGGAAATAAAATATTGTACCTAAAAATCTTCTCGTGTGTTACGTACCGACATTTTATACCTATTTTTTATTTTATACTTAGTATATTAGATATTATTTTCTTCCTACGTTGTTGTTTTCAAATATACATTATTTTATTTCCACATTGTTGTGTGTGGTGTCCATGTGCTGGGTCAGATGTGTAAATATCGGTAGGGTTTATTTATTCAGACGCGTTGGAAAGAGAAACAACTCAAAATCTGAATAGAAATATGATTTGTAGAAATGTATTCTACAATCATATCACTAAAATTATGTATATTGTCGAACTGAGAAACACACGAAAGTGGATGTAGAGTATTTAGCGCAGAACTATACTTTGGGTAATGTAAATCAAAATTTCCTTGTAGAATGTACATATACATACATACATAAAATAATATATACATATGGATGTTGTTTGATAGTCCTCAATATTTTTTTATATTTTGATAGTTCTGTATTTGATGGAAACACGAAAAATAATAGGCCAATAACTCATTTAATCATTTAAAAAATAAAATTAGAAAAAAATGTACACGATAAAATAAGATGTCTTTAATAAGATAAATGCATTTAGTTGCCCAGAAGTTGTAGGGAGTAATAACAACCTCCATGATTTTTAAATTTTCCTACATTAGTAAGTCTCTTACCAAGCCATTGATAACAGTATTATTTAGACAAATTAGACTTTGGTTTAACGAGTAGAATTTAAATCTTTCAGCTATCTTTATTGATGGATCACCATTATGTAACCAGTTATCAATAGTCGTACCGCACCGGCGGCCGCGCTGCGCGGCGCCGGTGTTACCATATTTATCAATAGTTTGTAATAAATGGGAATAGAAACACCAACATAGTGAATTAGGTACATATGAAGATACATATATAATAAAACGTATATTTTATCACTTCTCCGTGACTCGGCGAGGGCAGCTGTTTCTTTTTATTGATTCTAGATTTTAGTAATATATTTTTGTTAACTTCTATGTTCGCTGTCTTTATTATTGTTCATCCCCTTTATATTGACTTGTCGTTATCACCTGGCCGAGGCACTGGAGAAGTTTAAAGTCGAATGGTCCCTGTCGGTTGCGATACGTGTTTGAATATCTCGATCCGTGTATTTTGTGGTAGAGATTTATTTATGGGAATTAATGTAGTGATCCCAAGGAATATGTTTCGCAAGGGGTTGGGACCCAGATTAGAGAAGTGAAGAATTACAATTTGTACGCCAATCCGCAGAGACAGGACGCATTCCCTGAGAGTACAATGGATCTACAAGTTGTGCGTCTTCACTGTGCAAACTATTTTACATACCGATGTTAGTTACTAAACTTAGAGGGTAATAATGAGCCATTTAAATTTACGTAATCGTAAAGTGTTATAAGTTTGTATTCTCTTTCTCTACTTATTTTCGAACCGTAGAAAAGACTGAATTACTTTAAAGCGAAAGGAATCCACAACATTGCAAGAATACTCACCCGAAACATTTGGCAACGTTAGTTCTTTTTGTTGAGTTTTGTTCGTCGTTTACCATCGGGCGGTTGTGGTGTCGGACCAACCAGTTTGCGTAAGCCGCGTTAATTTGGTTATTGAAATCGTACATATCCTTACCCTGAGTAATGTATACCCCGGCCTCGCGCCGGGCTAGTCTAGGGCCGCGCGCGCGCCGCGCCGACCATACACTTGATCGTGGTAGTTTTATGAGCAAATAACAGTGAGCCTTGTGTAATCATAATGTCTAAGGTACATACATATATTTAGTTCTATCGTATCGTTAGATTTACGCGAACTTCCGCTTTGCCAACATATTGCGTTGCTTACATTATAACCATTACGAGAGTACAGCCTAAGGATTTTAACTTTTTTTATATACTGAGGGCTATTTCTAAGTCACTGTTTTTTTTACTATTTGTAATAATTATACGATAATCAAATTACAAAGCGACTGTAAGCCGCTCTTAACCAAGTTTTCGAGTAATTTACATTTTTAATTCCAAAGTTTTTCTTGAAATTCAAGGAGCAAACATCATGGCATGATGTCGCGGTCATTTAGTCATAGCTCTTCAGGGTTTTAACGACCAATACTTTAACTGCAACTGTTTTTCTTTTATTGTTAAAATTTTTAGGCTAGTTTATATTTTAATAAGTTAGATTTGTTAACTGTGGTGTATTAAATTGCACGTGAATATTATAAGCTCTTACAGCTTCCTGTGCAAGGTTATTATTTAGTTGTTTTGATAGTCTGATGTGATTGTGATAAATTTGCGTTATTATTATTGGTTTATTTATCTAAACTGAGGTCTATATCTTAAATTGTTTGTTGTTATAAGTTGGAAGTACAGCGCGGCAGGCAGAGGCTGTAAGAGCACTTATGTAGTCAGCATTATGTATATGCTTTAATGTGATTTTTTAAATGTACTCTTTATTACTTATAGTCTCATCAATCAATATTATTAGCGAACTAACAAAGCATTTTTAAATTTTTTTCAGTTCATAGTGATTTATATTGAGATCAAAATAAAAATACAGAGTTTATTTAATTTTATGGAAAAAGTATACATTGTAAAATTATTCTTTAGTGCTCATTTTGCAGAGCTCTATTAAAGAAGAAACTATATGAATGCAAAATAACAAGTCACGATTCTTTTAGAAGCCATGTAGTGGAGAAAAATAAACGTGCCATGATATTTGTGGCTATTCGTTTTGTTTCATTTACAGTACCTACCTAACGTGCCTGCCTTTATTCCAGAAACAACTTCGTCGAGTATTTAAAAGCCGTCAATTACTTGGTTCTATATGT